CGATAAAAATGACAATGATAATGATATTATCAATAATAATAGTAATAAAAAATAATTATATTATCAATAATAATAATAATTAAAAACATTGATAATAGTTGTAATAATAATAATGATAATGAATATAACAATAATAATAATCATCATAATAGTAATGATGATAATAATAATGATGATGATAATGCTGAAAACAATAATGATAAAAATAATGATGATAATAATAATAATAATAATAATAATAATAATAATAATAATAATAATAACAAAAAAAAAACAATAATATTCGCGATGATAATGATAAGGATAATGTTGATGATGATGATGAAGATAATAACAATGATGGTAATAATAATAATAACAAAAATAATGACAACAATAACAGTAATGGTGATGATGGTAATAATAATAGAATTAGGAACAATAGTATTAGTAGTAGTAAGAATTATCATCATAATTATCATTAGAAGTATGATAATAAAAATTAAAATTACAACAATCTTAATAACAATCATAATATTGATCATTAACATAATTAGTAATAGCAATGATACTACTACTAATAATAAAGCATTAATGACAGTGATGATGATGATGAACATATGACCAGCATTACAATGAACCACTCAAAGTATGTAATGGGCTTTCCCTGCGCAGAGACCTTACCTCGAACTGAAACAACTATTCCGTGTGAAGACCGTCTCGCCAGGTCCTAAACAACACGCCCCGACCTCACAACAAGTTGGCGAGCGAGACTGACTGTTAATTGAATGTTCTCCGCCGCGGCAACAGCTAAGGTCCTTCGCGGTATCCCAGCGCTGGCAGCAGAATGGCTCGGCGCGCACGCACTCAGACCCGTCTCGAGGCCACCGCAGACCGACCGACACTGAGGGCGTCGGGCCTCGCTCCCTCGCTCCCTCATGCGCCACTGGGAGCGCAGGCATATATATATATATATATATATATATATATATATATATATATATATATATATATATATATATATGTATATATATATATATATATATATATATATATATATATATATATATATATATATATATATATACATATACACACATGTTTGTGTATATGTGTATATACATATATTTTGAAAGCTGCATAATTTTAGGAAAGTCTATGTTAAACGCCGAAAGAGGCGACGATCGGCCGACAACGACGTAAAAATTGATACCTAACCTGCTGGCGTTTAAAATTTCCCTACAATTCTGTTGCTTTCGCGCGCGTTGGTTCGTCTCCGGGCATATAGTCATGTAATACAATATACTGCCATCTTAACCCTGAGAGTAGGTGTCTCGTACTGGAGTGCCATTAAAAATGAAGTCAAGTGCCCCTGACACACATTCGGATCAGGCCTCCATTCTTCGAAATGTGGCAACAAGTATGTTCGAAAAATGTAAAGATATGGCAGAAAGTTCTTTTGATAAATCCGCACATGGATTTTTGTTATTTACTCATTCCCACGTAAAATTGTTAAGAGACACCAGCTTTCATTCAATTCGTTTCCACAGGGCTGGACCCTTCCCAGAATGAAAATGTAATCTTTCTGGAAATTAATTTGGAAAAATGCACTCACGTTCATTATGAATCCAGTGATAATCTGCTCAAGCGCATTTATTTTTACAAAAAGGAGTTGTATCAGCGTTATTCTTTTCCCATGTTTATCGCACACCAGATGGCAGCTTGCAATGAGTTTTCTTGTACTTTTCCACGCCGAGGTAGATCTCCTTTCTCTTTGCCGGTGACGCTGCGGTCGGTTTTTCTCTTATTTTCCCTGTGTTTCTTGCGTCACTTCCTTCACTTAGTCTGTTTGCAGAAGGTGTCGAGTGTCCCCCTTCAGATCCTGCGTCTGCACTTCTCCAATGTAACATCGATCCTTTCTTCTCGCAGGGATATTTTATTATCTGACGATTGCATAGGTTAAAACAGATATTAGAACCGGCCATTGGCGAGTGCCATATTATTTGCCATTTGGTGGACTTCCTGTTAAAAGGTTGCACTGGACACAGTCGAGGAAGCAGCCCCGCCATTGAACTTTCATCCTATATGCATTCTGCTGAGTTCTCCGTGTTTCTTCGATTAAGATTTTATCATTACTTCTTGATAAAATTTTGTGTCCAGTGGTTGACATTTTTTTTTCGCAATCCAATATGATGGGAATTTTATGTAATGTATGTGTATAAATATTATTATGTATGTGATGGAGTATTGGCGATGCAGAGGCTACTCCGGTTGTCGATCCAGCAGGTTGCCAGGGACAAGGGCGCGATTATTGTCCCTAAAACCGAGCTACCCTGAGACTCCTGCCGGAAACGGAGCTCAGTGATGGGAGGAAAGGGAGCGTCTCACCACTGATTTCTGAAGCCAGGAAAGTCAAGATGGTTCTCCTTGACTTTCCAGTCCTTTACGGTGTGGGGTTGATCACTCACACCAGCAGAAAGGAGTTCCCGGCCACAGAGCAGCAGCAACGGCTTTGGGGGGGGGGGCGAATGAGGAGGCGGAGAGGGCAGCCAGGGTCGCCAAGACGGCAATGCCCAGGCTGCCGCAGCCCTGAAGGGGAGGAAGCTGAATCCATGCGAAGCAGCCCCCGCCCCACCTCATGGCGAGACTCCCCTCCTGCTCCAGCTCCTCGCGGGCGGAGCCACTCAAGGTCTGTGTAAGAACCTACAGACTTTGAGCCCAACCAGGCCGAGCACTCGGGCGATGCCTTGCTCTCCACCAGAGGAAGGTATCTCCATATATATATATGTGTGGGGGGGGGGGGTGCGTGTGTGTGTGTGTCACGTAGGCTGTAACCGTCAGAAAAGACACCAATGGCGTGGCAGACTCAAGCAAGAAGAAATAAAATACTTTGATTGGGCGGTTAATATGTAACATGACATATGATCATTTTTTTATGATGATAAATTTATATATATATTTGTAATTTGCAACGGAAATGTCATGTCACAATCATCACAGTCATCTGCGAATTTCTTATCCCTTGGGTATTTAAGAGCATCAAGAAAAATGTTACCATAGATTGCTCCTTGTTATATAAGTAGAACATTTGCTTTAAAATAATCCATACGAAACACCTCTGTAATCTGAATCAGACTTCGGCTAAATTCTCATGCTCTGGCATTTCCTTCTCAGTCCTCCTCTCCCAAACCAAAAGATAAAGTGGTAGTAGTAATAATATACTACTATGACTATTTCAATTATTACTACTGGTGTTACTGCTGCTGCGGCTTCTACTGTTACTGTTACCATACTACTACTAGTGCCACTACTTCTACAACAATTACTACTAATACATATACTACCACTGCCACCTCCACCTCCGCCACCACCATAATTTTTGTTTATTATCATTATTGTCTTCATCATTATTATTATTTTATTATTATTCTTATATTATCCTAAATTTGTATACGCTACAAAGGAGCTGCTTGTTAAATATTTGATGGTCCCCTTGGGTCAAGGTATGATTCTAGATGTGAGAACAACCTCCATTTCCTGGACATTACAAGATCCTGAAGCAAAATGATTGTTGGTTTCTGATACCATCGCTCAGGCCTTGATCACTGGATCTGAGACGGTGATGCAAGCAATCCATAAAATTTTATCTTATTGTACAATTCTTTTATTCATCAATCCTAGTCTCGCAGTCTTCCCATTTTTGACCAAAAAAAAAATGGTGCCTGAGATGTCAAACAGGTTCTTGAAAAGACTCACAAGATTCCTCACCAAAGGACTGGCTTTCCACACATGGACCAGAAACTTAGGAGATTATGGAGTCCTTTGTTAACTGTGTCGTCATTTCTATAATCCCCCTACGAAGGTTCTGAGAGCTTCATTGTGAACAGAGTTTAACACTGAGGACGATGGGACTGTCAGTCCAATTTACATATTGCCAGCATGAGGCAGCCTCTAAAAATTCTTACGATCTTGCTCAGTCAGCTACCATTTTCTCGTCTCCCACCCCCACACTCTGCCCAGATGGCGTCTAATGTCATGGGCATTATCACCCAATCCTGCGCCGAGTGGCACGGCCTTATCATGTGAACTCTTAGACTTAGACTTAGTACTTAGACTTTGTGTAGACTTTACTTTTCAAGATATACAACTTCTCTTCCTGGCCTTAGGGGATACAGTAGCTGTAATGCCCATGTAGAGTCTGCACACAGAATTGCAGCTCTCACATGACTCGGCTCGTAAGAAAAAGAAATGTCTGATGACGGAGAGCTTCAGTCTACAGGTCCTTTAGGTTGCCAGTCGTCCTGTGTGCTTCGAATAGGTCCTAATCACCCGCAGCACTGGAAGACCTGAACTCCTAAACTAGATAAGTAAGCTCCTTATACATCTTAGTCCACTGAGCATTGAGTTTTTCTTCCACACCTTATTCCAAGGAATCCTTCTTTCTTCATCGTGTTTCACAATGATAATAGTAGCACAGAAAAAAAAAATGAAATGAAGCATGTGGTAGGGAATTTCCTGTCAGACTTTGTTTTAATTTACATAACAGGACCACATATCTGTGGGGATTTGTTCAAAGGCATTCGAAAATAAACATCATCTAATTGACCACTAGAAAACATACATTGGAGAAGCCTTATTCCTGTAACTTGTGTGCCTAAGTTTATTTTCTATGAAAGGTTTTCTAGTAGCTAGCTTGGAAAGGTATTCACTTGCAAAGCTTTTTTTGCGAGAAGTCATCTTGTGATGGACATTAGAATGCACACAAAAGAGAAGCTTTAGTTGTGATGTATATAGTTGTTCTGTCGCACAGAAAGCCACTTTAGTGAAGCACATTAGAGTACATACAAAAGAAAAGCCTCATAGTTGTGAAATTTACTCCATGGCTCTCTCTTCTAAAGGTCACATAGTGATACAGATGAGTGCATACAAGAGTGACCTTATAGTTACGTATGAATTAGACTAAAGTAAAGCACATGAGAGTACATACTAACGAAAAGCCTTACATCTGGGAGAAATAGACCAAATGTTTCTTGGAGACCGTATCTAGTGTCGTCCATGAAAGTACATACAAAGGAAAAACCTTACAACTGTGATGTTTGCGTTAAGGCATTCTCCAAGATAAGAAATGTAGCAAAGCACGTGGAAGTACATAGATAGGGAAGATCACATATCTGTTAGCTACGCCTGAGACATTCACTAATAAACACCCTCCAGTTGACTATTTCAAAACTCATACAAAAGGAAAGCCTTATACGTGTGACACGCTCAGGAATACGTTCATTAAGAGGGTTTTGAATTTGTTAATGTAACAATAACAAGGACAAAAATAACATTGGTGACAATTATGATAAAACTCGTCATAGCAGTAGCAGCTGCAGCAATAATAATGATGATTATAATATTGATGATGATATTAGCCATGGTAATAAACATGATGATAGAAATAAAATAACAATAATAGCAGTAGTAATAGTAGTAGTAGTAAAGATAATAGTAATATTAGTCATTATCATAATAACAATGATGATAATAATGGTAGTAGCAATATCACCCTAACAATGATGATAATTGAATAGGGACAATGAATCACAGTGCGCAACTTTACAAACAGTATGTAGACTGTGTATAAGGATTGCTTTCGGGACCGTAGTAACTGACCGAGTGAAACACCAGTTCTGTTCTGGGAAAGCCTGATTTAGCCGGACCTTCGACGGCCCATGCTTACAGGCATGCTGCATGATGAATGATGTGTTAAATACATGTTGCTGTAATCTGTCTAATAGCTAGAAAATTACATATGTTTTTATTATTAGTTATTGAGTGATAATTTAACCTTGTAAAGTTTGCTCTCTCTCTCTCTCTCTCTCTCTCTCTCTCTCTCTCTCTCTCTCT